GCGAGAGAGACAGGAATATATACACTAAAGAGTCTCTAGTCTATATTCCTGTCTCTCTCGCAGAATTTTGCTGAAACATGGTTGCAACTGTCAAGTTGGCCAGTCTCTTATTAGAGGGTCTCTAGGTATCACCATCCATTCATGACATCTACCATAGATCAGTGGAAGCATATTATACTCACATGAGGAATAATGAGGAGAAACTGTAGAGCGTGATAAAAACAGACAAAAAAAGCAAGTAAGTTTCATGCGTTTATGGCATCTATTTTTAGTATAAGCAATTATTATTTTATAATATTTTTCAACATAAAAAATGAATATTTAAAAATACATTTTTTCTAATAATTTTTTAGAAAAATGTAGAAACTAACCTCGAAGACATGTAAACATTGAGAAAGCTTTCAAAATAAAGAAAATGGACAATTAGAAAGTAAAAGAAAAAAGATTAAAGAATTGAGATCGTTTCAAATAAACGCTATCAGTTGAATACACTACAAGCCAGTGCAATGAATAAACTGATACATCCAGCAGTTGCTCAGCAACCTGTACCTCTCGTTCCTATTCAGTTGGATTCTGCAATTGCCATAAGGATAGCTATGGGTGCAAAAATGGCCAATGAAAGATTATTAATGGCACACCCTGATATATGGCATCAAATTAGAATCATCAGAGGTGCCCAATACGACAAGGAAACAATTCTAAAGGCTATTTTGAAGGCGATAGAACCATTTGATTTAATACCAGTGAAGTATGATGTCTGCGGAGATGATGCATATTTCATGGCGAGAAATTGTGGCTTTGCTCTTGAGAAGCTGTGCAAGACAAACTTGATCATCAATAATGTTCAGAACGATGCTGTCATCCTTATGATAATTTTAGGATACTCCTCAATCCAAAATACAAAAATTCACATACAGCCAGTTCTTTTAGCTGCACTAGCAAAGAGGTATGATCCGAATCAGAAGATATTAAATTTAAGAAGTTTCCACAAAGATCCGAATATAGAAAGTATCGTCTACTGTCCTTTGTCACTAGATAAAATGTCCAATCATGTTTTAAAACTAGCCAAAAATGCTATAGCCACGATCGAGTACTTGAATTTACAATATAACGAATTGTTCAACATAACAGCGATCGAGAATTCAGAACTAACATTCATCAAATACTTGGATCTAAGAAACAACAATTTGTTAAATATGAACGTATTGGCGCCTCTGCAAGATCTAAAAATCATTAAACTCTGGTTGGATGGAAATCCGCTTTGCGAAAATTACGCGACTGCAAAACGATACGTGGAAAATGCAAAGAAGTATTGTCCGTATCTGCAGGAGCTAGATGGTGTAACCATCGTGTCTAACATGCCGTTTATATACAGAGACTACTTTAAAGACGAAAAAGCACTGGATTTTGTGCGTAAATTTGCTTCACACTTTTTCACTTTGTACGATCAACTCGACAGGACGGTATTACGGGGAATTTATCACAAGAACGCGTTTTACTCAATGAGCTTCGGCATTCCGAATTCCATGGCGCAAAAGAAGAACCTTGTTCAATATACAGGAAGTAGAAATTTACTGAGAAAAGGGCCAAAGAAGAATTCGCATCTCTATTACGGTCAAGAGGATATTCTGGCAAATCTAATCAAAATGCCTAGAACTTATCATGACAAAAACTCTTTTAAATATGACATTATGTACGACGATGGCAAGTGCATAGTAATAAACATTACAGGATTATTCAAAAAATTAAGCTCCGGCACAAACATATTGTCGTTTTCGAGAACGTTTGTTCTATTGGCTGCGATGGACAACGAATATCACATTTTGAACGATCAGAATCACATAGACGCAGCCCCTCAGAATATGACGCCTGATCAAATAGCTGTCAAGTACACGTATGACGAATTTGTACCGACTTGCTTCAGTCTGAGCGAGAAATCGGTACTAATTACCAGAATGAAACAGATCACTAAGATGAATGACGAATGGTGCAAAAATTATCTGTCGGAAAACGAGTGGGACACGCGGAAGGCAGTAAATAGCTTCATGAAGGATCTCAAAAATTCATCGATACCTGATCTCGCGTTCCACAATTAGAAATGTAGCTATGATACAACGTTGTTACTACTTTATATGTCATTATTTAAACACAGGGTATCCAAAAACTTATAGGTGTATTTTCAATGATAAACTCTCTGATCAATTTAAAATAATTTTAATTTTAATTCTTCCTCGACGAAAATGTCAAGGCGAATTAGTCAGAGAATCATCAAAAGCTTCTATAAATAACAGTATATGAATAATAGTTTTAAGTTGCAACAATAGCTACGTAAATAAATTTATATATTTTAAAAAATTTTCTCGAATTTTTATATTCCCATCTCGTACTGACATTAATTTTTTTATAATTTTTTCAACTATTTATATCCTCATTTTGTACAATTTCTTTTAAGATACTTCATAATTTTCTTGGATAGGTTTTTCTCTCTAATGTGAAAATCATTGTATCAATTGCGCGCTTAATTATGCATTTTCTATACTAGGGTATTTGCCTCAAGATGATAGGTATCGTACATCAATGAGTATATCGCAAGGCGATGTTACTCGCATGGCATTTAAGTGATCTCCAGGATGGAGAACGATTCTCGGTGACTTCATCCAAAGGTTATGCATTCAAGGACTATCCGGTAATCATCCGGGGACGATGTGAATGAAACAAAATCGCGAAGGTAGGCAAGTTTTTTTTACCCTTTCTAATTACGTCGCATCGCGCGAAAGCTATTTTAAAGACCGTCGAGATTTATGTATGCTCGGTTAAGTAAATTACGTTATGCTTGAATACGGATTTGTCACGGCTTATTAAATAATTCAATTGTGATAATGTGGATAACATAATATAGCGATATTGTCAGAGAAGAGATGTATATATTGTAAAATCGAGAGTGAAATTGCGATTCTGCTAATTAGGGGAATAGTATTCCGGTAATTGCTATCTGTAATTGCACGTCTCATAGGCTCATTGAAACTTCAGTTGCGTAATTCACTCGTTATTAGCGTCGGAATGGTAATTATGAAAATGATTCGTAGTTGGAGTAATTTGAAAAGAATGCAAATTTTTAGGACGCACAAAGACACAAATTTTTAGGCCACAAAGTCGACTTTACACTTGCCATACGGCATATCGCCGAGAAAATGATATGGATGAGTTAAAGAGATCGCAATAAAGACGTGACTTAGCCTATAATCGTGACGCCTGCCGTAGTAATAATCATCTCAATTAGAAAATAATACCTTCTGAATGATTTCTGTACTAGAATTCTTAGATAATATCTCATCAATTAAATACAATTAATCTCATAGCACATTAAAAGGCATGATAACAAATAATATAATATTAACATACGTAATCATATTGTTAACAAATAATTCATATACTATTCATACTATTTCTAATATATCTACTATTTTCTAATGCAATTATTTCAAGCATTTTAATTTAAAAAATATTATTTTTAATAAAACTAATGAATACATTATTTCTCATCAAATATATTCATATATAAAATTTAATCAAGCTTCAAAAAAATACAATATAAAACATATTTGTTGCACTTATAGCCAAAAATAAATGAGCTACTATAATTATCGAGGCTTGAAAAAATCTACTTGAAGATACAGCTCAAACGTTATATTTACGAGTCTTTGCATTGCATCATTGCTGTGGGGAAAAATATAATCGCGCAAAAGCTAAATAAACAATCATAACATGGTATTTTGATCTATATCTTCCTCGTTTCTTCACATTGCACAATCTTGTCACTTCCGTATTGTCAAAGCTTAGAATCACAGAAACATTCATTCGCGTGCGAATAGAGAAACATAATGCAGTTACGCGATTGTACGCGCTAAGTCTACTAAGCTAATGATTCTCATCAGAAGAATCACATGGCATTTTTTTAGAGGTGATAAATAAAAGATAGAACATTAGACGTATATTTTTGGAAGTAAAACCCATGAATAAAAAATAGAACGTTAAATATATATTTTTGAATGCATCGCTTAAACACACTTTTTCAACCAATTAACAGCGTGAACCCGGAAAAGCGCTTTGAGTAAGAAAGGCTAAGCAACGCGTTGGATGAAACAGTTACTAACAATTACGGGAGCTGAGAAAGGGTACGTAAAGGTAACGACATAATAAAATGATTGTTGTCTACTGTGAGACTTCCAGTAGCCTCCCACGAGATGAGCTTCGAGAGCTCGCCTTCTCGTAAAAATAGGAAACTGTGTGTTTTTTCCAAGATCAATTATCTCTTGTACTAATTAAAACTTCCTTCTCTCGATAATTCGTTGCTTCCTGCATCGGTGCTTCCGAGATCGAAAGTATCGGTACAATGCGCAATTGAATGTAAACTGAAGTCAATTAGTTGTTTTACATGAAAAACTTTCTCAATCTTTCAAAGCGTACGATAAAAAGAAGGAGTAGATCAAAAATGCATTTTTTTATGATAAATTACTCACCATTGATCGTTGATTTACTGTCGCTCGATGTCCCCTGGGCCTCGCGCGCGCGTCTCCTCCTCTCAGATCCTTCAAACATTCACACTGACTCACACGCGTTCGCGACGCACGCTTTGCTCGCGCGCGTACCCGAATACAAAAATCGCGCGACACGTTAAACGGCACTCCCGACGTCGCAGGCGAATCAAACCGAATTGTCCAAAATGCGACGTTACGCACGAATTCCGTCCGTGTTTTAGACACCCGCATTTACCACAATTGGGGCACGATTCTCTCAAAACAGAGGGCAGAACTCGAAAAAGGTAAGATATGATTAATCATGGGATCAATTGAATATCCCAGCAGCATTTCGGTGTCAATACCAACGGAACTCAAATCAAAACATGCTGATTTTTATCCCGTGGATAATATGATTTAGATGTTATTATCACACGGAAAAAAAGTAGTGTCAAATCAAAGCTTATATACTCAAATTAACGTCGTTCTATTGTTTCTATATACGCAACTAATTTATAATCTTACCAATAAGTAATTTAATATTACTTTAAATTTACAATACTAGTATCTTATATATATATATATATATATATATATATATATATATATTTCCATTTTATAATAATCACTTGAAGAATACAATATTTAATTTTACTCTAAGAAAATTTAATCTTTTATTTGAAAAATTGTTATTTTCTATCCAACATTTTTTCTTTTCCATTCAAGAAAATTATTCTTAAATAATAAGAATATTTTTTTCTTGGTTGAACTATATAAAATGACTTCATTCAAGCCAGTTTTCTTCGTTTAAAGCAATATAATCTCATTTCGAGATTTTCATGTTAAAAATAAAGATATTTTTAAAATAAGAATATCTTTTTTTTCCGTGCATGCATCATATGTTGACACGTCTGATACTGAAGGGCTCCAATCGAGATCCCATGATACAAATCGATCCTTCCCTCTCCCGAGCCGAACCCAAGAATCGAGAAGAAAGTTCCCTTGAAAGGGATTCGATCGTGTCCCAATATTTATCATATCATTCGGCAAAATACGTTCATCTTATGATTCGCTAGAATACGGTGTTTCGTATTCGCGCGAAACTATCACGGCACTCCCGACTCTCAACGTGTGTTTTATTACATTACGGCGGAACGAATATGACGATTACGAAGCACGAATGTTGCACAAAAGTTTCTCTGTAAAACATAAATGCGTCCATTATAGTAGTTTATAATAGCACTCAGAGAGCTCTACGCGAAGAAACTTTTATATCAAAAATTACTACGTCGAAAGTAGCCGGGGATCATGAATTATAAGTATAAATGCTGTCGCAATTTTTTTTAAATAATAAAACATAATTTTTAGTGTTTGTTTGAAATTTTATTATATTTTAAAATATTATTATGATCCATCGATAATAAAAACATAATAAAATGTATTTGAGGTTGCGTTAAAAATTAATATAAACTTTTCTCCGTGTAGCATAATATACATATAACATTATTATCCATAAAAATAATTACCCATATAATTTTAAATACTTAAGTAAAAATGCGATTAATATGATATTAATAATATTTCTCTACTCATCGTTAAGAACTATCGTGCAATCAAATAGATACTTCGTTCATCGAAAATCGAATGTCGCAACTAAATGTGTCAAGATGTGTAAGTCAGTGTACCACCGTGGAAAAAAGAACAAAGTCTAATTAAAAAGATGACCTATTGAGACACATTTGTGTCAAGATACTCATAAAAGGTATACGCACGATGTAACATGCATTGAAGATTGTTCTTGGCGATAACCTGTTAGAGAAAGTCATATCAGGCCCTATGTAAATTTCGTCGTCGCCCCCGTTGAAGGCACCGGCAAAAATAGAAAGATACACTTGAGATTCTTTCCTGCGATTAGAGATGACTTTAATTGTGTGGCACAGCGCGGCAGATAAGAGTCCAGAAAAGAGAATTAATGGGAAAACTGAATTAGAGCACGAACGAACGCTATAAATTTATTATGCAAAGCCAGAAACACCAGAACGCCAGAAACGCTCAGTTAAGTAACATGATATCTAAGTAATGCTGTTCGCTTACCGATGTTAATAAGCGGGGAGAACGTGCGTGTAAACGCCAACGGTTTCACGGCACGGTAATCTAGCGAGAAAAATCTAATGCGTAATAGTAACTCTTTTAATCGTATGCGAAGCGAAAGTATGTGAGCAGAGCGAGATTGTTTATCATTGGGAATTGAAATTGCCAGATCAATTATGATTAATTCCAAGGAAAAGTAACTTGCTCCATTAATTACTTGTTTGTAGCATCATACAACAATTGTAGCAACTATTACACATGTCTTACAATTATATTATAATAAAAATTTACATCCTTTCAGACATAATTTCCATGTTATTGAAATTTTTAGATAAAACAAAATTACATGTATGTATTTGTTACTATTAAATTATTATTTCTTACGATCAAATTACATCAAATATTTGATAAAAAATATGAGTCTTCAAAAGTGAAATGACAGAATACGCTTCATTGACTGAAGCATCCTTGTGCCAAATTCAAGGATAGTAAAAGCACATTCGTAACATGGAGATTACGACAGCCTGAAAGATGTTTTTATACTTATCATTGTCTTGTTACAAAATATAGAATGAAAAAATAATTTACACCTAGTGCTCATCTATTTCATCAATTTATCTGTGACTTTAAAAAATATTTAATATCCTCGCGATATTAAATCAAAATTTCTGACAATCTGATATCTTATAATATCTTATAATATCTCTGCATCTTTTACAATTTTCAAACTCATCAATCTTTGAAACAAACATGAAAAATCAAAAATAATTTAAGAATTTAAAAAGAAAATAATTTTTTATTGTGCAAATAAAGTGTTACAGCGGAAAGAGATTGATTCGTATCAAACAACGAGACGAGCTAAGCCATTTTCTCCCAGTCCAAACGAACGAAATTATCGCGAAGTGAAGAAATCGACTATAGGATTTAGTAACGTTCACAGACCGGACTGATTCCCACGAATGACGTTATAATGGCTTTACGAAAGCGGAAAAATCCGTTCTTTGGCACGGCTTTGGAGAATAAGCATCTCGTTAAATCCGCCAAAACAAATATTTCTATTAATAATAATATTTAATATATTCTACGATCAAAATAATGTTTTTACTGAACAAACACTCGAATTCAAGGATCTTTCAATTTTATAATATAAAATCTAATCAGTAATAAATACTATATGATTTAATATTATGTGATTATCATTCAGGATTAACTCTTTGAACCCTGAGGTTAAATATTTGTGTTAAAAAAAAATTTTACGCCTTACTTATTATTCTAATCTTCTGACAAAATAAAGATAAAATTTAATTTTCATAAAAAATACATAAATTTTGCTAAAAATCTCTTTAATGTACAATGGGATCGCACTCACATTAAGATTCGAAGGGTTAAACAACTAGAGCTGAAGAAAATCGTTCTCCGTGGCATCAGCATAACGACATTGCGTTACTCTCTGCGAAAGGAAATCGAAGACGAGTTGCCGGTGATCGTCTTAGATAGACGGAACAGTCCAATCGAGAGCAATTGCGCAAGCCGTATTTTCGCAAGACTCGTTCATGCGAATGAGTTCGTGCCGGAGAAGAGCGATACGATTTGCCGTAGTGATGCACCTGTGTACGTACGCAAATGGGGAGCATGGGATTTTACATGAGACGTGAATAATTAAAAAGGGCAAGCTTGCGCCATTTTCCCGTTAATGAGTGGTATGTGCGCGCACAGCTACATTTCCTTGCAATTATGCTCTGGAAGAGAGTCTTCTTCCTTCCCGACTTACTCAACTAAACTCGTTCATCATACGAGTGGGGAAAATTTCGCGAATCTCCGAGCGTATCAATTTTTTAACAGCGTTTAGGCGTTTTTTTCATTGTTTCCGCATCTCAATCTTTGCTTTTTCAGTATTATTTTTCTCCTAAGTCCACTTCAGATAATCTATAATTTGCGACAAAGTTGCAAATAAAAATTTATAATTTTCACAAATTTTGTCGAAAATAGTCTTTAAAAATGTGCTCTGTAGCATATAAATATTTCCTCCCATTTTTTCCTTTCGACGTTGTTTTATAGATATTCGTTTCTTTCTCTTAAAGACTGCCTCATCCAAGCATTTTGCCATCGTGTAAGAATTTACTTTCGTAGCATTGTTTTCTCCGACGACTAATTAGTTCGTGCTTCTCTCTCATCCTCAGCTGTGCGTGCCTCTATCCACCTATGGTCCTCAGCGAAAATCTCTCACGAGAGTTGCGCATACGTTACCCTCTCTCTCTCTCTCTCTTTCCCCTTCTCTTTTTCTCTCTCTGATCATTTTTCGCTGAAGTTGGATATGTGCTATGCCATATAAGAGAGGTGTAGCACAACATATGACGAAATCGTCATAAAATTTATGGAATATACTTGTCTCGTGTATTAAAGAATCTTTTATCGTGTTATGTGTCAAAAGTGGTCAATGATTGTGAATTAAACTGGTCATTAATAATTATAAAAAAAGATAGGAATACATACTTTTACTTCAACAAATATCAAAGTAATTTATAAAACTAACCGATTATAGACAAGGAATTTTATGTACATTCTAGCGATATAAGCGCATTAAAAAGACACACAGACACATTTAGAATCTCCATAGTTTTCTAAAAACGAAAGTCAAAATTACATACGTTTTTACTTTTGTATGTTTTACATTTTCACATTGCTTCTCGCATTTCAATCTCTCACTCTATCATTTCTCGATTCTATTAAAAATTAATACATTTAGAAAACAAATTGCTACTTTTCTTGTGAAAACTTCAGCGTTGCACGCTGATAATTATTCGCTAAAGTATCAGTTCTCAGGTGAAGATCTCGCTTAGAATTTTCGGGATGATGATAGCTCGCACACATGTGGGAACCGCTTGTATAATCGGCCGGTACTTCCACGTTTCACGAGCGCGGGTTCGCGTATCACGCACGTAAGAGCCGGCGGCGGCTTTACGCGCGTGCGTTTATGCAACATTGCGCGAGATAGTGTATGTGTATGCGTGTTTGTATCAACGGGATCGTCGCGTCGATGTGTGCCCGATATGCTCGGGGGCATGAAGCCCCGCGACACTGTCGTGAGTGAAAGTTATGCCGTCTTTTCTAGGGCCCGCATGCAGGCATCGGTCTGACCTACGATTATAAATCGTCTTTGAGCTCTCTACGGTAGCCTCGACGAACAAAAATCGTTAATTGTTTCCTGTGTGCTGAGAAGGAAGTATTGAACTCTGCTGATTAAAGAGAGCAAGGATCGAATTTTATAGCAAATTGCTTGTAGCTGCTTCAATTGCAAACAGTCTCCGGAAGACTCCGCATCTTCCGAGGAGTTACATATTAGATGGGTGAATCATATTTCACAATCACATTGTCAACGATTTCGAAACGACGGCGACGAGAGTTGTCATCCGGCTGGATAATCGAAAGCGGAAAGAATATCCTTTCGACGATTCAACGCTATTTTATCCTGCAATAATAATTTCGTTAATTTGACAATAATTTACTTCTCGTAATTTCTTCTGCAATCGAAAGCTTTTAAGTGAAGTCTGTGTATATAATAAATCATCGACCCTTTAGATTTTCTCTTTTCGATAAGAATTATTCTATTATGCGAGGAGATGGATGTCCATATCGCGCACGAGAGAGTTGATGTTGTAATAAAGAGACTCGTTGACAAAGGAAAAGTGATGATTCACGGTACAATATTCGCGAGTAGAATTTCCTTACCGGATACGATTTATTGCGAGTTACGTATGCAGAATTAATGCGCATCTCTATCGCGAGGAATAAATTACTTTGTACGCGCCGCTCTTTCCACGCGGACTTAAATTGCGCGGATAGCCTTTCTCGTATATAATATTTATATGTATGATTTTGTTAAAATGTAAATGACAGAACACACGTGCGCTCAAGACCACACGTACGGACGGTGCACGGCATGCGGGAATTTGTATAGATGTTGGAAAGGAGCCGCGGAGCAGGAAACGAAGTGTACGCGCGGTCGTCACTTCAGGACTATCAAACGGGATTCCAAGTTATATAAGTGAGAGGCGCGTATCGCGGTGGTGATGAGTGGATAATTTTCTTTTTCACACGAAGTTGCGCG